GAACAGTATTCCATGTGGGGCCGCACCTGTGCCTTATATAGAAGCAGGCGGTGGGCCGGGGTGAAATACTGCCTCGATCTATTGAGCACACCAAGCTTCCTCGAGGCTAATTTGGCCTTATCCTCTAAATGACCGCAAAACTGGACGTCGCTCGAAATGTTGACACCAAGTATTCCAATACCGGCTGAGGCAGTTAGGGGGGTGCTTTGAAAATGAGGAGAGACGACCAACGGCAGTTTCTTAGCGGAAATCAAGAGTATTCAACAAGGTAGTAAGCATTTGATACCCTACAAGAAAATTGCAGGTTCCAGAGTAGAAAAGATAATTTAACATACAATTTCTTCGACTATCTCTCTGACTATTCCGAACTTCTACAATATTCAGTAATATAAGGAAATTACAGAGTACATACGCAACCTTTCGGTGAAACTCGTTGGAATTGTCTTGGAGTGCATTTCAGGTGTATGCACGGCCATAAGCAATGAACGTTGGTTCTATTATTACCGAGGGTGCTATTGCAAAATTCCTGCTCTCGTAATCTCATTTCCAAGGCTGTTTCTATGCCAATAAGGAGTGTGACCCGGTTCCTAGGTGCTCTGATAGTTACTAGGTAATATCTTCTTACTACAATCGATTTAACCCGAGGCGCGTAGAATGTCAGTCTGACTACTATTGGATGATTGACAATCGTACAAAAGTTGGTTTGAATCACATCTCAATATTCGAAAATCTTGTGTGGAAAACTGTCTTATTGTAAAAAATTGGAAAGAAATAAGGGAACCTTTCAAGTATTATGTGTTGGCTATCTTGCAACAGGAAGCTAATCTTTCGACACTTTTTCTTTAAACCCAAATTGGCATAACTGCAGGAATATTATAATTCATACAGAGCAGCAACTCTCAACTAAATTATACAAGTTTCAAAGATTCTGTTAATCTACTTACTTGGTCCGCATAAAGTTGGATTCGCGAGCAAATAGCGCATCTGTAGGTGCTCGAGGCTCGAAATAGCATAATTACGGACTGCTCCAAGAGATAATTGTACAATTAGCTGATAACTTGCTGCTTAGACTTTCGTAATGGTGATTAGATGCAGGATCTGTGGTTAATGGTTATTTTAATCAAACCGTGTTTGTTTATAAAGGGGTTTCCATAAATTATATAGGAAAACAACATCCCTACATTGACTATAATGTGCTAGTTACCAAATAATACGCATTGCATTAAAGATTGACAAACATAGGTAAAGTTTGCGATCAAAATCTTTTAGGGGTAACGTATGTACCATGGTGAAATTGGGCTTACCTGAACAGTCAGGGGAGTAAAATAACCACGGAAGTTAATTTAATTCGAGATTCGACATATAAATATATTTTGATATGAACAATTACCGACCCAATATTCATTGAAACTAGGAGGCTTGTGTGAAACGGCTAATTTATTATACACTATCAACTTACAACGTAGTTCATTCGTCACCATTCTCGCCGTATCGTAAGTACCTATCAGATATTCTTATTCTTCGAGAAACGTGGCTGTTAATTAATCAGCTAATTAGGCTAATTGGCCCAATTGTATGTCCAAACCCTGATTACCAGGATCGATGGGAAGAAATGTGAGGGGACTGAGTTATTGCATCGTTCTGTGCGAGTTGCGTGCACGCCGCGCCCCCGACACGCGACCCTGCGGCACGCCAAACGATATCTAATACTGATAAAATAATAAGCTTGTTAAAAACTAATATTTATGATTTATGCTAAATTATGTTTACAACTGCATATCTGATGCAAAAGTGTTAGTTACTCTATTACAACTTCCCCCGTAAATAATGAAAAAAGTATGAAAGTATATAAAATAATAACTTTGTGTTTCACCGGAATTGAGGTAACCCACTAATTTGACTCGGTGTAATAAATCACCCCACATTAATTAAACCAATTAGAATAAACAAAAGGCTGCTACGAGTTGCTACGCTGCTACGAGAATGCTACGAAACATATGTTTGTCAAAATAGTATATTTAAATCATAAATTGTATGATATAGCTATGTCAGTATTTCATATCTAGGTTGTATTACTAAAAATACCACTGAATAAATATCTTGTAGCTTAGTGGGTGTGCCATAATCAGATTGCGGCAGTCGTAGAGCTTCGCTACGGACGGACTTCGGCCGCTCCCACCACAACTAGCTAAACTATATCAGCTTTCAGGTATATCTGATGCCAATAATCCGCACGAATATATTTCACTTAAGTGAACTCTGACCTTGATCGTGCAACATAGTATTCACGCAGGTTAAAGTACGTCTGTGACCTAAAGACTACATTCGCGTTTAACAAGTTACGCCAAGTTAAATTAAGTTTAAAAATACATTTTACGTATAAAACAAAACTTAGTGTTTAGTCATAAAAATAATAAATAAGTTACCGAAGAGGGTATCAGTCAGAATAACAGTAGTTCCCTTACCTTATTATTTCATTTTGTGCGTAACTCTGGCACGCCACATGCCGCTGGCCGGCGCTGTCACAAAGGCTTTGTTTTTCACATGTCGGCCTTAGGGCCCGGGAGCTGGTCACGTGGCACGACCACTGCACTGCACCGGCACTGGAGAACCCGGCGCTCCGTGTGGAGTCGGTAGTGATAGAGGTCGCGCGTGTTATTGTTGTGAGCCGGGGTCGGCACGGCAAGGTTGTCACGGACCGAGTGTCGGCGTGGAGGCGAGCGTGCGAGGCGCTCGGGCGGGCGGCGCGGCGCGACTGCGCGGCCCCAGCGCGCGTGTGTCGCTCGATACGCTGGCCATGAAAATTTCAGCCGAGCTGCTGTCAACCGGTGGCGGCACGCAGGTGCGCCACCACCACCAGAACCTTGTGCTCCGTACGTCTAGATTTGGTGCTCTCGAATACTGCTGAGTTCCTTTCTCAAAATCAACGCTGTAACTTTCTGAATATCCTCTATAACTTAGTTTTTAATTTATTATTACTATTTCTTAGTACTATTTCTTTTAATTTATTATTTTTGATATAAATGTCAGGAATAATAAAAAGAAGTTTATCAATCCTTAATAAATTACAGTTTATTAAAACGATAATAATTAATAAAAATAGTTTTTGTTATGATAATAATTATTTACAACATGAAGTCTGCCTGTAAGTTCAAAGTCGCGGGCTTCCGACATTGTGAGGTCGGTATCTGAGGAAACACCATCTAATCTCAAAGTACAGAAACATTTAAGTTAAGTGAAACCTAATCCTTTCTCATCTAGTAATGTGATTCGAAATTTCCAGCTACGCCCATAGGTGGCGCCTCTAGTCACTCGTCGTGTCGTGACAGTTACACTGATATCACAGTGCACAAGTAAAAATAAAACTTAATTAGGGTTAAATTTCAGTTGATATTTTAATGAGGGTATCTTTTTGTCCAAATTAAAAGTCCCCAAAAAAGGTTTCGTTAACTTTTATTATACGAATATAAACATGTTACAGCGACACTGGTGGAAAACTACAAAAATTACACTTCAGTTAGATAATACAGATATTTACAGAACAATAGTTTAATGAATGTCATTCTGAGCTTAATTTAATAGAGTAGGTATATAGATATAGTTGTATTATGCAGGATAACATAATACAAGTTACATACGTTACAATGATACAATTTAAATAATAATTAATTTTAGGCACACCGTGAATCTTATTTATTGTATGCGTATGGGCACGTCAAAAGAATTAGTACAGTACATAGGTATTAAATAAAAATACCACGGTGAAGTAATACACAGATAATATAATATTGTCTTTAATTAAAATTTAATTTCAAATATCAGTACATTTAATGTATGGCTGTAAGTACGTAGAGCTTACGATCTACACATTAACTTACTTGTGTGCAAAAATGGGCCTTATTAGATGGCCTTCGATCTGAGACCATTCACAACAATGAACACATATCTAAAGCGACATTTACTTCTAGTGTAACTACAAAAACCACTTTATTCTGAAACATTTGTTTTATGAGTAAACATTTAAGTACATATACGTCTCTTTCAAGTCAAACGTACCAGGTAGAAGTCAAGAAATTAAATAAAAACAGTTACATTTAGATCGTTTCCAGTCCAAAACAAAATTTTCCTATCCATCATCATTTAAATGTATATTTATCAAAAACATGACTTAAAACGACTGGCTTTTGTGATCATCATTTGCGTCACCTTGTTCCCGCTTTATACCCTTCTTTACTTTGAAACACATAAACTCTATCAATTAGAAATACAATACGAAATTCAATTTATAAAACATGTTCCTATTAAAGCTTCTAAAACGTTATACAAAATTGGTACAGCACCTTGCTATTAGACGTATATTGCCTTTGGCTCAGTATTATTCTACAATATTATTTCATGAGATTCTTATTTACAAACCATTATATACAAACGACAATTCACATATACATAAACATACTACGCTAGATGTGGCATTATATTAAGTTATTTACATGAGTACAGTACAAATAATACATTGTAGACACTGCGAAATGCACACTAGGAATACATGGGAACACAGTGGTAAGTAATGAGTCCAGTTTCGGGCTTCCAACTTCCACTTACAAAGCTATGTGCCTTGCATTGATGTCTAAGAAGGTCTGTTTAATATAGGGCCAACTAGGAAAGAGCGCATACAATTCAAGAGTACATTTTTCGCTGTTTCGAAATTGGGCTAATAATTTATGTTATATTAATTTTTAAACCTTGTTTTAATTTATGATAATTATGTTATTGCACGAAGCTAGCAAAAATTCTACTTGGTCGTCTAAAAACAACAAGGTCTATCTCGGCGAAACTACTTTCGGAGGTTTATGGAAAAAGATAAAACAATAAATGCGAAATTCTTGAAGTCTGTCATTCCCGTTGCAAAGTCTGCCACAACACAAAATTGTCGTCGTTCAGATTATTTGTAAGAGTCTTTTAAGCACAATGGCTGTCTACCAAACGGTCACAGTGTGTGATCAAGGGCGCTTCCCGCGCGATTTCCCGTTGACCACTGGCTCCACCTGCTGCGTCTTGCGTGGGCGCAGGATGAAGTTTAGATTGTATGCGGTATTCACCGCATAGTAAACATTTGCATTCGCAGGCAGCAGCATTTCTGTAACAATGTAACGAAATTTGTTAAATTTTGTTTTCAGCAGACCACTCTTAGAAAAGAATTTGTTGATTATTGTGATAAAAAATAAGATTAAATGTTGTAGCTGAAAATATTACCATCATGATAGCCACGTAGTGTAACATTTATTATAGTCAATGTTTTAGGCACAGAACATATAAGTGGTTTTATGACTGAATAGAAAAAATGAGAATAAATAAAAATAGAAAAGGATCCGTGAGTGAAAAACTTCTTACCTTTTTCGGGGAGAACTTGCGCTAAGGTGTATCCATCAGGATCACCGTCGAGGTTAAGTTTGAGCATCGCGTTGCGGATGACTTGTGGCGTGCGTTCGTTGTTGCACAACATGATTGACTTGTACAGCACCACGCCCTCGGTCTCAGCGCAGTCCGACTCGTACGTCACGCGGATGATATAAAAGTCTGGGCCTGAGCGTACGCCCGGCGCCGCAGGACTGACTCCGCCCGCCTTGCCATTGGCGGGCTTTTGTCCGCTATTTGCACTCGACAACGACACATCTAGGGAAGGTAGTGACGAAGATGATGAACCGTGCGATAAACGTGTCGGTGACACCCGCCTTTCTAGGCTGTCCCTCTTCCACGCTGTACCAGTGCCGTCGGTCTCACAATAGAACTGCGAACTGTTACTTGAGCTCGTGCTAGCAATTGAGTCATTTTTTCTGTGACCGTGGCTATTTGTTTCATTTATTTTCTTTGGTCGCCTCTCCTTTGGAGGATTCGTAGGCGGTTCGATCTGACAAGACAGTTGATATGATTCTCGGTCATCCAGCACAATGACCGAGTCAAACCACCTATCAAACATCGAGTCAGAGGGCAAGTGATAGGCGTTGGCAGCACCCTGTAGTAACTTGATCTGCGCGAGGACTTCGAATTCTTTCCGTCGCTTATCAAAATTTATTAAACCATCGGCTACCGTATCTGGAATAGCGGTATCGATCATAGTGAGATCGGTGAGGAAAGTACCAAGGTAAGGAATGGTTCCATGACTGACGCCAGGAGAGCCCCGTTCGTGTAATAGTTTTTGCAGTTGGCGATCATTTTCGCCCACTGTATCTGCGAACTTAGCAGTTCCCTCACGCATGAGTAACTCTCGTTGAGCCCACCGGTTATTGTCCTCACTAAAAATACGCGCAAGTTCATCGAACAATTCAGCTTTTTCTTTAGCTAGTAATGCCCACGTTTTTCTCAGTCTATAAACAGGGTTACTCTGGAGCCCAGAGATAATCGCTTTCAATGAAGAAAAGTTTTTGAGCACCCTCAATTCTCTAGCAATATCGAGCCATGCTGCTAGAATTTCAGCACGTTCGAGCGGCCTCAGATTAGGTTCAACCAAAACCGTAGATATCACTCTAAACGATACAGCATTAAACTGGTTTACAGTTGCCAAAACGGTAGCCGCGTCGTGATTGCGGTCTTTGTCTCTGCGAGACCAGACGGCGCCAAGGCACTGGTGCGGGACGAGCTTCTTGAAGAGTTCCATGTCCATGCGGGTGAGCTGCTCAGCGAAGTGTCGGTGCGGCACGTGCGGTAACCGGTACGCGCTGGTGTGGTGTGCCGGCACGCGCATGCCGGCTGCGAGGCACATGGCGCCGCCCACTCCGCACCCACCATTGCGCTCTGCACTGAATACAGCTAACTTCTGCAATACCTGCAAATATAGACAGAACATTACATTATTTTACACTAAGGGTGCCTCACAATAATATGTATCTAAAGCGTTAAACGTTAAGCATACCTTCGAATGTAGTTCCGTTCCTGGCAAATGAACCTGAGTGAAGGCGAGTAGCTGTTGCAGTGCGGGGTGGTGAGGAGGCTGACGAAAGTCTTCCGGGTACGTGTCCAGCCACACGTGCAGACACGCTACTAGAGTCCTGAAACATTTACGATGGCATGTAATGACTTAACGATGTGTAAATATGACAAGTAATAATTTTATTTATTAGACATCTAAATCCATTTGTAGCTTTGTTATGAAACTATTTCCAGTTTCATATGAAGTTTCGTATTACGCGACGCCTTCTATTTACTCCTCGAAGGGCCAATGACTTATTGGTAGTATTTTACCCGCATAAATGATTTGAGCCACCGCAGACACTGGGCACAGTTGGGACTCGAATTGTGTCCGTGCTATTCAATCAATTTCCGATCGTGTAATCAATTAGGCGCTCAAAGCAGGAAAGACCGGCTAATTCATTAGAATATAAGTTTACTCACTTTCGATGTTGCAGCGACGTGTCTACTGCAGTCGGGTGTACCTCCTCCGCAGCCAGGGCTTCGTATCGTCGTAAGAGAAGGTCCAGCACTCTGCTACACTCCGCAAAGGATCTATAAATATAACCATATTTTTTGTGAATAATTCAGGTTCTTGGGGATATATTTTAGAATTCAATAATATTTTAAAGAGTTGGTCTAAGTGTAGAATATTAAGAGTTTAAAATGTAACTGAGCAGAGGAATTATTCAACTCCAAGACAAAATTTACAGGACAAATTTATTTGTGTTAATCGCAGAAATGTTAATATTGAAAGGTGTTAATATTATCACTATAAAAATGTTTAAGCTCTAAAGCAAAAGACTTCAAGTAATTGCAAAGGTATTTAAATTATTGTTAACTTACCGATATGTAGCCAGGAAAACATTAACGTATGTGGACTCGAGTTCACCATCGTCGGTAGCGAGCGCTTCCACCAGCCGCTCGACAGTGCCCGCCTTCACGAAGCGCACGCGTACCGTCTCCCATTCCAAGTGGGAGATCTCGTCATCTGACTCCTGGAAGATGATTTTCATATTTTAAATTTTAACAGTTGTACATGCCAAATCCATAACCTATAACATGTTAAATAAACGTTCACTTTTAAAATTCACAGATAACATCATGTTTTGGAATATCATAAACTCGATTAATTCAGATTGCTGTCAAAAATCAACTAAAATATATAAAAATCGAATTATTATAGAAATCAATATGTTCCTGTTTTTGTTTTATCTCTCTGAATATCAGTTTATATCAGAATTATCCTTGTATCACGTGTATGAGGACAAATACGAAAAAAATAAGTACTATTTTTTAAAAAGAATGACTATTGGACATGTGTTCATCATAGTCTCTGATGACTAATATGTCGCAGTTTATATACCAATGGGTCACCATTGGTATATAAACTGCGACAAGTTTATTTATTTAATTAAGTCATTAATTTACAACTTAACAACTTACAATCTTGCAATTTTGCTCGATTGCACTACAAAATAAGAAAAATTAGGGTTTTAGACGACCATTATCATAATCTGCGTCATTCTCAAAACTGAGACACTTTAAAATGTGTTTAATAGTAACAACTTTTACTCATACACTTCTGTGTCATAGGGAAATACAGAAGAGATATTTACCTATTAAATGAACAGCGTATTTTTAAAGAAACATTAAGAAATGGGGTAGTACATGTAGTAGGTACATGGTACATGTTTTTCGAAGTGGTTTTCCGCATACTCCGACGTTGTTTTTCAAGCCGTATTTTTAGTTAAATAACAATAACTAACTCGGGAAAAGAATTCTTTGAAACGTGTGTACACAAACACAATCAGAATATATGGAAGCAATAATTTGATTAAAAGTGTCTAATAAGCAGGTTAGCAGTAAAGTGAGAGTGTATTGAAGATTAAAAGCTAAGAAAGCTAGTCAACCACAGTGCTACAGCAGCTATCAGGCTTAATGGCACACAGCATACGAGGTGGTACATGTAACTATGTAATTTTATGCAATTTAGTTGTCAAGCCATTGTAAGATCAGAGAACAAAACTAAGTAACTAATGACTTAAGGTTCCCACATCTTACATTTACTATAGTTCTCATTGTATCGAAATAATGTGTATAGGTATTGTCTTAAAACGTGTTTTGCACTGATTTATGTATGTCGGAATAATACTCATTCAAGATACTGTCATGATTTAAGTAGATTCCACATTGTGTACCAAGGACTTCCTAATCTACTTTCTAGATATCAGAAGTAATCAGATCTCACAGATATGTTTGACGTACTTTTATCGGCCTTTTACTAAGACAATTCGACATTTTTTCTCACAATTATTTTCGTAAAGAATGGAATACATTTGTAATCTTAAAGAAAGGAAAAATTTTGTCGTTCATTCATACAGCTATTGTTTCCTTGATTTATTCAACGTGTAAACTCATTTATTGTTCTCTCAATTCTCAACTGATGATTATAATTTCGTAATTATTTGCGAGAATACATCGTACTCTTGGGAATGTAAGCAGAGATGGGTGTGTAACGAATCGCAACAATGTGGCCTGACATGATTCATTGTGTAGTTACTCTGCATATGGCCGAAGTCTTTGTCATCAGCTGATCGTAACTGCAGTGTTTTGATTCGAATGACAGTAAAGCAAAACGGCCTTGTACTGCTAAAAATCAATATTATTGTAAAGCACAAAATCGAACAAACAGACAAAGACAAATAGCATTGGTATTGGCTTTATATCCGCCATTTAATCGAGCGACGTTACAATTTTAAAAATCAAGCTTAGAATAACTTAATATGGTTATTTAAAATACGATGATTTGACTTAGTTACTATGTATAGGTAATAAAAAAAAATTGTAGTATAGTTAGCATAAAATTAAGTACATATCGTGTTGTTATGAGTATAAATAATAATTCCACAACAATCAGAGTCATTTGGAAATATTGTAATTTTTAATTGTATAATGTGTTCTATCATTTCATTCCATTTTACTCAGCGTAACACCGCTCTATATAACTGGAAATCATACCAAACCGTACATTACACGCCGGACTAATTAAGAGATACACGGTAATAAAGAATTATAAATTGTATGGTGCACGCCAAAATTACGTTCTGTAATTGTCATGAACAACCTTGTACACCATTGTCGGTCGTCCGGGAAGTTTATAATACAGTAAATATAAACATGAATACAACTCTGGCACTGCGAGTGATCCGTGATGTTTTATAGCCAGTTTGTATTCTACAAAATGTTATCGCATACCGTAAATCGGAACGGTTACGTATTGCACAAACGAACACAATAGAAAATTCTAGTATAGTCTACTGCCACTAATGTATATATTTTGCTTAGAGATACAATTTTATTAAGACTAACTTGCTATCTATGTTTTTATTTATTATCAGACACTTTTAAGCTTCACTATTGAATAATTTTAATTATAAATTTGACATCGGTCTAAGCACCAACAGACCATCTATGGTAGCAAATTATGGTTTTAATAACAGTATGAGTAGTTTAATAAGACAATATTGTCTTATTTGTCTTAATGATAAATGAATAAATGGCAGATCATATGATCTGCCAATTATTTAAATTAATCAGCTTTAAAATAATTACATGGTTATATATCGTCGTTATTAAAAACAAAATACATAAACAAACAATTTGACATTCCATTTTGAGCACACGGTGCAAAGACACTCGGATGCATAGTACTCATACATTCATTTACATATAATAAAGTAATTAGCAAACAGTACTGAATAAGACTAGTGTAATCAACAAAATATACCTACCATTATTTTTTGATAAATTAAAGAGCCAACGATCACGTTTGTTTTATTGACCCATTAGATATTCATAGAAAACGTTGCAATACATTTCGTGCTGCAGATTAGAAAACGAAGCCTAGAGAACGAAGGATTATGTAATAAATACTCCTTCCACACAAATATAAAAATGATAATGATAAATATTTCGTCTATTTCATTAAAACATAAACCAATTTATTGTTATGGTTATTAACCCCTCGAGCGTCCTTATGAGCACCCGGTGGATCATAAGAAAAAATGCTCCATGCTGCTTTCTCTTTTATAAAATCTATTATTAATGTTTTGTTTTTATTTAGACTGTATTTTTTATTTCTATTGTAATGATCCTTGTTTTCGTGTGCCAATGGCCAAATAAATGCATTTTCTTTCTTCCTTTCTTTCTTTCTCCAAATGTCACGTATGCACCCGTTGGATCATACGAATGCGAACGCTCGACGGGTTAAAATATATCCAGGGAAGCAATTACCGATTCGATAAGAATAATGTAACATCAATGCCAAACCCTGAAGAAGTTTAAATATGATCAAGATCTGACAAAAGTTCGTCAGAATATCGGAAGCTATCCAACATCAAGATACTAATTAATACGAAAAAGAACAAGGCATGATTTTCCTGGAAACTGACTGGATTTTAAAAAGGTTGCAATACGGCCCCTGAGTTGCCTTACCATAAGTTATTCTTCATACATCATTAAGTCACCGATAATGAGTATAATGTAGGCATAGGTCATTATGTCACGCAAACAGGTTATAATATTGAAATCGTCTTAATTGAATTTCTAAATGCCCGGCAGAACTCACGTTAACGTAAACTCGACACCAATCAGTCCCTAGTTTGAAATGTCAATTATCACTTTATGGAACTCTTTTAACAAGAATAAAGAGAAATGTGCAGATACTTACACTAGAAGCGCTCCGCGTAGGTCGGTGATAGCGGACTTTCTTGAGGTAGACGGTGTAGATGGCGCCGTCGACGCGCTCCTCGCCCCACAACCGCCATGTCGGCTGCTGGAACACACCACCAATAGGTCAACATAACAGCACAACATTTTTTATACATTTCGTATGAAACAACAGGCTATCGTCATACATCATCGTGAAAGGTCGTCGAATAGAGGTAACTAATTCCAGTCACATTGTCCATCTCATCATTGCTATCTGAGGACACAAGCAACACTTGCATCGTTCTCAAAAATGAATATTTAAACAGAGAATTCATAATAAAATGTGTTTTTTATAACGTCAAGTACATACGACACCTAATAAATGTATGCGTAAAGGTACGCATGTGCAGCTTCAAGTTATTAGTTCAAGAACATTACAAAAGCAAGTAGCAGATAAGGAAAGTGTCATTACAGAATACAGTCGTTGGTATGTGGTGTCTGTAAGAGAGTGCTTACATAATCATCGTCTAGGTTACGAGCGAACAGCGCGGGCTCGGCCTTACTGACGCCGCAGATCCTCCACATGGCCCATGTCCGCGACGTCACGCGCGACGTCACCTCAGCTCAGCTGAGCGCCTCCCGCATCACGCTCACTTTCACTAGCTCTGCTAGTGCACCGCACCACCACAATACGTCCACATGCAAATCCAGTAATTCAGTAATTGGATCAATCAGCGGCAGTGGCGAGAGGCAACCGAGTATGCGAGCAGCGCGGACGTGCGTGACGCGGGAGAAATCGCAACGGACGCGGACACCGACACACTTGTCCACCTCGGCATCCGGCTCCAGAACGACACTACGCAACTTTTGATAGCCTCGTGCAATTAAGCTCTACTGTCACCTCTTAATCACTGACACTCGGTAAATGATCCAAAACCAACTCTCCCTCATAACAAGTTTTCTACTATTACTGCGATTCAGTCTAATAAACTGTGTAATTATCGTCACATTTTACTACGTTGATTATGAAATCGTGAATTTGCATATTACATGGATATCGCATAACGAACACAGTCTATCAAAAACTTTCACACATTTATTGTTAGTAATGTTACCTACTGACTTCTACTGGATATTGAGAATGAGTTGCATAACTATACGATTCACTTCACAACTACAATCAATCACAGAAATAATAATAAACAAGTTTGCAAAATATAAATAGGCAATACAGAAGCGCTGGCGCTGCAGCGCGGGCGCACGGCGACTGCTCTCTTCGTGGAGAGATCGCGTGAAAAACTCCGATAGAGCACGGCAATGACGCGGTCGCTCGCCGCGCCCCATACCCAGGTGTTGGCTTCATAACACGACAACACGTGCCCCCACATATGTGTGAGGAGAATTGAACAAGCTTAAATGTGCTCAGTATGACCACTTGTAATAATAATCCTGTTAGGACCCGCAACTACGCACACGACCAGTAGGTAATCTTACTAAATAATTTAATTGTGTTAAAACGTTAGTAAATATAGTATGTATACTGTTTATTCCCACAACGAACGCGTACATTAAAATTTGTGGCAGTTCATTTTATGATCACTAAAACCGTATTTAAATTATGAATTAACACTTTAATTTAAGAACAAGAATACTTATGGACAGAACGCAGAACGCAGGGTGAAACTACTGGCATTATACGTAACTTTCATCTTAACTTTACAAGTAAGTAGTTTCATACAATGAGCGTTTCATTCAAATGTGTTCCACTACCATCTCTTATGTATTGCACGTTAGACATGATATAGTAGAATAATTGATCCACAATGCGATAACTCACTATTGTTATGTGGACTCACTCACTCATTTATAGGCTTCTATTGTATTATTAAAATTAAAATAATACCCATTTTATCACGTTGTTATTATACGAAATTAAAATAGAGCAAGCACTGTGTAGGTAGGCAGGCTCTGTACTATCAACTTGATATAGCTGGTGAATCTGCTTCCAAGAACATACGGTAGGTTAGACATACAATTCTAAACTAACAACAGCTGATCCTAAAAAGAATGACTAATGTAATGAAATCATCATTGGACGTATTATCCGATAGACGTCCTCCTAGACATTGGCAATGAGAAAACAAACAATGTATAGAACCGCTTATCAATACATTTCATGATCCTACCACAAAACGTTCAAGACAAGACCGTTATGTTAAACTAGTTTAAGTCAGTACTTATGTGTAATTCCAAGATCAACATTTTGTTAGTGATAACATTTTTAAACAAACTGTTTACGAGCAAACATAAACGTTTTATTTATTTATTTATTTTATTTATCGGTTTATGCACAACACACAGACAGTACATAGGAGAACACATATATAAATATTTTGGAGGTACATAGGTACTACATATTCCCGAAGGAATCTCTTCCTGCAGTCCTTCGACAGGAAAAACGGAAAAAACAGAGACACTGTGCGTAACATGACATAATATGTATTAAATAAATAGATCACAATAAAATACATAAACCTATACATACATATGATCGATACACATCAAATAATACACATATTAGAGTATATTACAAATAAACATACAAATATATATATATATATATATATGACACTATGTAGTCTATTGTAAAACGTTGTTTACGAATAGTAAATAGTTTTATCGTATGTATCACAGGCGATGTGAGTTGTGGAGCGATATGCCCGCGCGCACCCAATGAAGCGATTAATAACTTGCCCACTCAACTACAAAGTTGTTTCGATCAATAATTGAAAATTGTAATGAACACCTAACCACATAATATGCTGTACATGTAGACATCACTTTTTGTAAGCTGCGTTACACTTCAAACCGACTGCTGATAAGTTATGTTGACTGTTTAAAACGTATGTTAGTAAACAAGACTGCAAGTCAGATTTTTTTTTAAATATCCGCAACATGTTACTTGGTATTTGAACGATCTTATTGTTGATCCGACCTATTGCGTATATCAAATTTGTGTTTGTAATCACGTCAAATGGACATTGTGACCCAGAATAAAACCATCTGTGGACTCAGGTTTGAATAAAAAGAATCACTCTAGCTAAGTAAACCTAAATCTAATAACGAACGTTCAAAGCGATATAAATCAATAGGCTCAACTGAGGCAAGTCGATTTACCTGGATAAAGTAAAGTAAGTAATATTTACTTACTTTACTTTGAAACATTCGTTTAAATCTTCTCTGAAACATTGTAAAATTTATGTATAGTAAATTTAAGCAGTTCTTGTTTGTTATTCTACTTTCTAACCATGACATAACTAGGTGTTTTACAAATGACTAAGTAATGTTTACGGTATTTTATGAGCAATTTAAAACCTGTGTTGTAGTCCAGTCCCAGTTGGAATAATTAACAGATAATTGTCTGTACGATTGTGAAATGTAATTGCAAAACACAGTTAAACGCTACGTACAATTTGTTAAGGTTTACGAGAGTTGACAACGCGCCAGGAGCCCAGCCGGCGCCGCCTGAACCCGCCTGACCTTTCTTCTCTAATATAACAATATACTACGTCGATGGTAATCTCCTAAATAAATATTTATATGACATCTATGTATGAAATATGCTGGTTCATTGCTTTGACAGCGTCATATGAACCCTAATATTTAACAATGACTAACTAGAAAGAAAATTTGTGGGATTCACAAACACGTAAATATTTTTTAAATTCCTCATGATGATAGTTATTGTGAACATGATATTGATCGGACTGGTTCCGGCAATCTGCTCAGCAAGTGATATGAGGCTCGTGGGATTTTATATAGAAATAAACCTGACAGTAAACCATCACGTATTTATTGATCATTTCCTAGTAGAACATTCTAGCGATCGATCGATTCTAGCAACAACAATACTCAATTGATTTCGTAGATTGTCGTCCCACGCATCAAACGGTCCGAAGCCCTTCACAAATGCGCAATCGCTTGAAAAATCTCTCATGACTAAACATTGGACCCTTCTAACAAAACCTTTTAAGGATACTCAAGAATTTAGGACCCAAGCCGATTTACGCCCATACAATCCGATTGTTGTTGCTACGACACAGACTTATGAAACCCTAGAAAATAAAACAAATCTTTTTGTATAACGAGGTTATTAACGTGACACTCAAACCATTATAGAAATACGGGTTTCATCAAAATTCGCATTCAAGGTAAAAGATGATATACAGAGTTCAAATTACAGTGACAATCTAACAAGCTATCCAGTGCGGGGTGTCAAGGCATTTTATTTATTGCACAGTCATGGCGGTGAATAGTGAACATTCGATGTATCAACGTCGCGTCGTGAATTCGATTTACATAGGCAAAATGGGTCGCCAGGTACACGTTGATTTAATTCCAGTTTCACCGGTAGGTAGTAATGTTGTTTGAAAGTGCTAATATCGATCGGCATGCAACTTACAGCAAGGTAGGTAATCTAAATATAGTACATGACCTAAGACGGGTGACTTCCTTTCCACCCCATATGCCTCCCTAGCACCGAGCTAGCCCAATTACCAACAACTGTCTATCTGTGCCGTCGCGTCGTATTCAAATAATTGACTCTATTAAAATTTCCGAGTATATTGGAATTCTGTGTTCAGGAAACTTTCCTTTGTTATTTTAGGGCAATTTTGGAGATTGTCTGTCTAGCCGAAGCTTAAGGTTTATTATTTTGATAGATAAACAATGCTCTTTGTAATATTATTTTGTAAATATTTTATTTTCAAATTGTTCTTAGAATTCGAAGCCTAACAGTTTGCGCTATTTATTATTTCGACACACATGGAACCAACATCTTGTCACTGACAACGGGATTCTAGTCAATGACAGCATGATAACTCTATATTAAATTGCAGATTAGGTAGGAGCCGAGTGTGTTCAATTCAAATCTCAGATCTGAGCTCGAATGAAACTTATCAAGGTGCTACGAAATTGCGTAGTACTGCCATGAAGTTACGTAGTATTGCTACGAAATTGCGTAGTACTGCTACGAAAAAGTATTGTTACTTGGAACAAACAATCTTAATCAATATTTCCGAAGGTAATGTCATTTATCTCATAACATTGGCACACCACACACGC